ATCTATCCGATAAACTAATCAATTCAGCAAATCTGTCCAGAGAATGGTTTACGTCATTTAGAGCAGCAAATTCAACCCTCTTACCAATAAGAGTTCCACGCAATCCTACAGAGCTATACTCGATAAATTGATTAACTTAACCTTCCCATGTTTACTAAAAACATGGTTATTTCTTGATCTTATTCTAATTCCTAAGTTCCGGAGATTCTTATCAGGTGTCGGTCATATAATTCTAGTCATGGCCTCTCCTAAGGTGTCAGGCATATCGGGTAATGTAAGGAACCCCACATCAATCAGGGTTAGTGTAAGCCTGGTTTGGATTCTAATTATTTCGTGTAGTCTCGTTTTAACCAAACCATACGTTACCGGATCCAGTTCTCTAGTAGTGGGCCTTGGTAGATTAAAATTTCAACCCAGTAAACAACACTTTGGAACAACATTGATAAATACAAATTAAAAAAAAATTAAATTCTTATAAATTATTGGGGTACAGTTTTCTTGGAAATATTCTTCTTGATTCAGCTCTGATGACAAAAGGTCAACCCGTTTTCGCCTGAAGTCTCGTGGGCTGCGTCAAACTAAAGGTCGTATTAAAGCCAAACAGTAAACTCGGTCGTCTTCTTTTTGTGATAACGACTTACGAATACCTTCATCGTGCACTTTCATACGAGCCTAAAATATTTGACATTACAAACGAATACACTACTTATATTCATATAAAGTAGGCTTCCAAACTATCCTACTTCCAGTCATCCTGGGTTGCATATGCGGATGAAGAGTTCACCAGCTCAGACTGGTCTCTCGATGGTATTAGTCATGCCATCCTGGCCAGAACTGTTGTCCTTCCGATTGACGGAAGAAGACAAATGCAGGGCCCTACTTCACGTACCATCTGGCCCGGTGCCAAAAGCCATCTCACCTGACGACCAGACGGGGTCGAGGGGGTCTGAAGAGTGACGGCTGTCGAGGCGGCGGCAGATGATGGTGTGATGTAGAAAGGCAGCTGCGCTGCCTCCGCAGACTCGCCCGTGGGCTGACGACTCGAGGTCCAGACGTCAGAGCCGGAGGAGCCAGCCAACCGGTAGGCGTTGTCGCCGGGTGCCAACTGGCCCAATCCGTAGGGCAGATCGGCCAATCCGGATGCGGGTCCGAACGACAGGCCGTCGGACGGGCCCAGACGAGTCGGTGAATGCTGGTGCGGTTGGTACAGGAAAGGGCCATTCAACGAGCCGGCTCCGTGGCCATTGGCCGAAAAGAGGTCGACGTGAGCGCCGTGGTGCAAGAGCTGACCGGCCTCGCGAGGCTGGACTCGAGCCTGAGGCTGCGTGCCGCGTCGCCAGGCCCGTCTGCTTCCAAAACCGGCTCCGCAACAGACGGACGTGGAGGGGGAGGAGGAACAGGGACGGGCCATACAGAGGATGGCAGAGATGAGGAGGCTGGCGAGGAGGGCGGAGACCGCGGAGAGGATGATGACAATGAGCAGATTGCGACCTGCCATTCCGGGCGTCAGCCCATTTCCGGAGTACCACCAACGGAATTCCAGACCGTCCGAACCGTTGCTCATCTGATCGTCGGTCTCGGACAGACTTGAAGTGGCGGCAGCTGCAGCCGCGCCCAACTTTGACGCCGAAGCCAAGCCGGAACCTCGTGGGCTTTTCACGTCCGAGTCCTGTCGCTGGGCGAGCGGAGGAGTGTCCTCGACAATCACGCTGAGGTACTGGAAGAGGCATGGAGACAAGAAAAAAACACTGTCGATCGTGCAGACTATACCAGACAGATCCTAGCCTTGGACATGCAGAAAAGTTGGGTTTTGAATAAGACTTAGTATAACTGGAATTTTCATTTTAACGAAAAAGTTCTTTGGAACGACGTCGCGAATTGGTTCCATCCGAAGAAAGAGTATCTTGAAGTGAAGACATGTTAAGTGTGCGAAAAATTTGTCGGCCTTATCCAACTTGAGTCCTGTTATAGTATCTTTGTGCTGTTTTGAGTAAACTATACTTTCTCGCGCTTACGATGCTTTGTCACATTCAAATACACATAAGCTCAGCACTTATGGCTCGGTTTTAGAACACTTCTCTCTCCTAAACCCCCCCATGTGCCATAGATCTTTCCTGCTTTCACCATTTTTATAAACTTTCTCGTCACAGATATGAAGACCAAGATGCATAGAGGTGGTCTGACCTCGTTTTCGCAACTTGGTCGTGTTATCAGAGTGACTTATTTTGACGCACTCTGTACGGAGTATTCAACGTTATCATAATTCCTAGTTCCTGGCCATGGACTTGGTACATTCCCATACATTTCGGCGGCATCTTAGTCGGCATCGTTAGTGAATCTTGCCATGCTCAGCCTCAAGCTATGGCTCGTCAAAGAGACACAAAGTTGGTCACTGGAATAATTTTATTTGCCTTATTGACGAATTGTAGCCTGGTGCAGAAGATGGCAAGTCGCCCTGACGATGTCGGCGAAACGTCTGT